TTATCATCGTGCTTATAACTCAACTCTACTGATTTTGTTTTTCTTTTTGTAGCTTCTCCCTGGTAGCAGGTAGCTCTGCATATGTCTGTGCGCATGTTCAAGCAGGTAATCTTTTACTTGTTAAGCAAATGTGTGAAACTCTACACTATGGAGTCATTAATTATAATAATGTAGAATAAGAATTTATAACATTCATTTATTTATTTGCTTTTTCTGGTAACATAAGAGCAAAAAATATGTTAATTTTACATTTTCACCACTTTATTTATTTATTTATTTTGCCAGAGTGAGAATATTTCACTCAAAGTAGTGACTGACAACAAATGCGTGCACAAAGGCTAGGAGTATAAATGCAGTCTGAATTCCCACCCAGGGAGAAGTGTGGAGGGCAACATAAACCAGCAGGTTCCAGTGTTGCTAGAAAACATTTCAGTTTCATTTCACGTACAATCTAATGATTCGCCATCTAATATTCTGATGTTCATTGTGTAAACCATAACAGAAACTTAAGGAAGCCTGCTTTGCACTGGTAGCTTTCGGTTTCCTCTCAGCTGGTACAGCCTTATTTAAAGTTCGCAGCTTGAGGAGTCATTCTCACGAGTTCCTTGTTTACAGTACAGATCAGCTGTTAGGGATTTCTTTCTTCTTCAGCCGATTTAATTGAAAAGATGTCACCAGAATGGGCACAAATCTTTCAGATTAAAGCAGAAGATCTTAAGCAAGGAGACTCTTGGGAATTACAATACGATGCAAATATTGAGCCTAATAACCCAAACTTGGACTGGAAGGAGTACATCAGGAACACAAGTGCAAGGTCAGTATGCTGAACAACTGTTAATTACTGCAGCAGGTTTGCATTTAGTATTTGCATGAGTGTTAATATTTACACTATTGTATATTTGTGTTACATTAATATGCCTTACATTATGTAATGTGCATGATAACAGTACAACATCAATACATTTTAGTTATTAAGGAATATTTGTTCATTCCTTGTTTGGTACAATTCCAGAGTTCGAATGATGGAAAATAATTGGAAGTGGTATAAATACAATTTTACCTAAAAATACAGATTTTAGTCTACCAATACTTGCCTGGAAGTATTGGTAGACTTACAGGCAAGTATTGGTAGACTAAAATCTACCAATACTAGCTCTAATACCAGATAGAGCTAGAATCGCTAGATTCTAGCTCTATCTGGTATTATGTAAACTGGAATAAGTAACATCAGATGGTTTGCTTTCCTTTTATGTTCTTGTTCTTCACTTTTCAACTGTCATTATTACACTATTAATTAGCCAAAAAGCTAATAATTTGGTCTGCTCAGTTACATCTAAAAATATATTTATTAGATTTTCCTCTTTCTTTTTATGACATGTATTGTATTACTGCGGTGGCACATCACTGTAACACTGTAATGAATATACTAAGATCATATTCACCTATCCATTTTTGTTTTATTCTCTAAATAAAACAAAAAAGCTGAGTAAACATAAAAAGCACAAGCTTCTTCTCTTTGAAATATATTCAACTTTCATAGCTCAATAGTAAATTTTTTAACAAATTTAAACATAAACATCATATGAATCACACATTCATCCATCAGAGGGGACACAGTTAAACATGAGAAGCTCAGTTATATCTCCTCCCACTGCCCTTGTAAATGCATTTGATTCCACCCAACATCTGAGTGCAACACATAGGGCAGCTATCAGCTTTTACACAAATCATGAGTTTAGTGCAAGTTTGTGTGGTTAAATGAAAAATTCTGAATTTTTAAAAAGTAATTTTGACTTCTACTGAAACAGACATGCTCTTTCTCTTTTTTAATTTCAAGTTTCAAATGTTCCATGTGTCGAAGAACGTGGCCTTCCAACAAGGTGAAAGTGCTCTTCCACATGTGCCTGAGAAATGGGCAGGGCACTGTCAAAGTGAGGCCCTTACGTCAGAACTGCAAGAAGTGCACAAATGCTCCAATGGAGGATCCGAAGATTGAATCTGAGAACATAAACACCCTCATGGAAAAACTGGTGGAGAAAATCAAACAAAAGTGCTACCATGAAAACCTTGAGGAAAGCAACCGACCTTTCAGACTCTATGAAGTCAAAAGTCCCCATGAGCCTGAACACTGTGAGGGGTGCATAAAAGGAGTGTGTAAAAACAATCTGTAGTTTTAAATCTATTTACCTATATTATCAATATCTGATTCAGGGGCTTTAATTATTATGCTAATTATTATGCTGTTTGCCTCACATAATGGTAATGTTAGTGCTCAGTCATGACTTCAAAGCTGAAGGGTATACAATTCACAAATTCTGCACAAGCAAAACATGAAGTCCATTTGTGATTAGACATGTGAAAACTTATTGTTTACAAACAAAATGCACATAAGTCAAAATTGTCTACTATCAGTAAATGTAGCATGATGTTTACAGGAGTCACTATGTCAAAATGATTTGTAAATAAAATAAAAAAAAACATAGTGGTGAGGTTGCAATAAGATATATATAAGATATAAGATATAATAATAATTTATGATATTGTTTCTTCTGTTGAATGCATTGTTGTTGAGGTGGATAGTAGTTTATTTATTTATTTGTCTTCTGTTTAATGAAGTAAGCTAAATGACATGAAAGATCATATACAAATGTATATTATTATTATTAATATTTATATTTTTCTTTGTCCCCTGTTGGCCTGAAGTGTTCTATATAACGAGCAACTGAAATGAAACAAGTGCATCTTTGTGCCTCTTTGCTAACAACCTCTGTGATTTAAAGTAAGAATAAAAATTGCAAAAAGATGCAGATTTTGCACATGTAATGACACTATTTAGCTAGCATAAATTAAAAATGAATTAAAACTTTTGAAATCTCTGTTGAAAATGTGTCTGCATCTGTATATTGTCAGAGCTGGAAGTTGTTCTTTAAAGACAAATTTACTCACATCTTATCATTTTTGGGTCTCTTTCTTCAGATACGTTGAGCAATGGGAAGCATGATTTGATCAGGCTGCAGCTAAAAGGCCTTAGAACCAGCTGCATTCAGAAGTCACACAGATACCATGAGTAGCCCAGTAGTTGAAATTATTACAGATGTAATAAAAACATCATTTTAAGACAGTGTGAATCATGTATGAGTAAAGGCAGTAACACATCACTAATGGGGACAGAGTATAAATGCATTAGGTGGACACAGAAACGATTTCATAAGTAGTAGAAGGTTTATGTGTTTAGGTTTACAAGATGGTGAAGGAAGGCTTGCAGACAGCTGTCCACATGTTGTAGCTGTTTACAATCACCAGGGGGCAGTGTCACTGACAACCGGTTTGAGGCCTACTACAGTTTCTACTGCTGTTGATCTTTCAGCTAGTCACCGAGAAGAGCGGAGTTAAATCGAAACTGAAATCGAGTGTTAAAAACTGTGAAAAGTGTCCAGTAGCGCCATTATCTGTGATTTTCGTGCTTTTTTTGATCAACTTTAATGTAAAAACGGAAGAAAAACGAACCGGTTAGCTAAGCGGTACTCTTATTTTGAAACAGGAAACAAGGGAAAACGTCGCCATGGTTACGGGTAGCATTTGGCTAGCTTCTTAAAGACGCTCTTCACATTTATTTGCTCGATACTGTAGTTTGAGTACTCATATACCATGGGGGAGTCCGATACTTACCACATACGACCCAATCATCAGCAGAAGTGAGTTGATTCATGTGGTTAAACGGCTTTTTTCCCCACACAAGTAAAGAAAACTTAATTTAGCATTTTAGCTAGCTGATTCGCGGTCTACTTTTAGCTGCGCAGTTGTTCCAGCCTTGAATAAATGACATCTAACGTCAAACTTAATTTAGTAGTATAAATGCTACCATTCGTCAATCAAAATAATGTGGTTACGTGTGCAAACTTGAAATTTTAACCGAAGTTTAGTCTGTTACAGCGTTCATGCAGATTTATCAGCTGGAACTTTACCTATCTTTCCTGTACAATGCAGATGTACCAGGGCATTCAAATGTGATTACTTTAGGCATGTACTTACAATATACAGTGCCATAGGTAAATAAGTTTAAAA